GTTGAAGCAACCTGCCCAGTATAAATCAGTGCAGGATCTAGTGCACTTGCAGATACTAATCCTTGACTGATTCACTAATGGAATGAGCCATATCTTAAAAAATGAAATTTTGTACAATGAAACCAGTGGGAAATCTCAAAAATTGTATTTTAATATGTCCTGCTTGAGCATGCAGACCAAGAGATCTGTATTTGCTGCATATTTTCTTTTGCAGTTTGCATTAGTATTTCTTTGAAATTTTAGCAGAATGTTGTTTATCATAAAATTAAAATGTATTAGGTAAGTGAGACTTTAAAATCATTCTGGAGTGACTTCAGATAGAATATCGTAACTACATGTGTTGATGCAATTAAATATTGTGTATGACTTCTTACAACATATAGAACACAGGTTTGTGATTAAAAAAACAGTGATGTCATTTGAACAGCTGCAATTTTTACAAATATTAGAATGGTGCTAATTAGAGATGGGAAGAAGCTTAGGTCAGCTGGTCTGCCTAAGCAATGCCTAACTACACTTAAGATATTCTGCAAACTGTAGAATTCACTAGTTTACCTCTACTGCTCTTTTTTGGCTGAGCACAGATAAAACACTATAAAGTAATGAGATTTCTTTTAAATGTCCACATCATCTTACATGTTGATCTATATCCTGTTTGACTTGCTCACACAAATAGCTCCAATGAAATTAGTGGAACCATTTGAGTGAGAAAGGCGAATAGATTTTGACCCTGTATCATTTAAGTGACTGCTTTATGTAACAATGCTAATAGAAATACATCCTTTCCTAGCCAATGCCCACTGTTCGAATTAGTAGGGGTGGTAATCTGAAATCTGCAAAATGATGGGAGTGAGAGTTGCATTATACATAGTACACCAATTACATGTATTCTCCTTAACAATACACGCCTCGTTTATCATTCCAGGGTAAGGGCCAAATTCTGCATGTGTATGAATGTAGAGCTTGTGACAGGTGCCAAATTGACAGCCCTGGAGGCTGAAGTCCCCTGTTTATCCACAGAACAGGTATGGCACATATAACGGCAATGTGAGCTTCATTCCTATGCCCCTGCCAATGTGCCTGATGTTAATATGGATGGAGAGAGGAAAGATGTTTATGTAGATGGTAGACTGGACAGATCACAGGATGGGGAGTGGAGAAATCTAGGGTCACGTTCTGGCTTTGCCACAGACTCCCTGTATGATCTTGGGCAAGTCACTTAATCTCCCTCTGTATCAGTTCTTTTCTATAAACCGGGAATAACAATCATGCTATCATTCTCCCACCTTTTGTCTATCCAGGCTATTCAGACTGGGACAGGAAATGTCTCTCATTATGTGTTTGAACAGGACGTAGTGAAACAGGGCCCTGATCTTGGTTGGAACTGCTATGTGCTCCTAGAATACAAATAATTATTACGATTAATAATAGAGCAGTTCTCTCCATTGGAGATGATTCGTTCACCTTTTCCCTTTCAGTCTTTGGTCTCTGGGTGAAGGCAACCATCGAGGTTGGCAATTAGTGCTAAGGAACAGAGCTGTGAATTCCTGTTTCATAGGGTCCCAAATAATGCTAAAACTAGTGTTATTTGCATTTTCGTTTAATTTTTTTCACTGGTCTTTTAATGCCCCTTAAAAACATTTCTGCCAAAGTAACATTACAGTGTTTCTGTAATGCATGAACTGAAATATTTTGCAAGGACTAGATCTTGCTTTATTTCGGCCCCAAAAATAACACCTTGATGCATTTAAAAGAAAAGCCCTCAGAAAATGTAAAATCTAGGGCAGGGACTATGGCTTCCATTTCTCTATTATGCATCATTCACATTGATGGTGTATTATAAATAATAATACACAAACACTATTCTGTGTATTTCTGCCAGTTGTGCTGGCAGTTTATGTGATGTAGTCATTGCTAATGAATATTGGACCTGATTTTCAGCCTGAACTGAACTCTACATCTGCTTTTGCATCTGCAGTTTTGTTGATACAAATAATTTCAGATGACATTTTTCACATATAGTTACTTGAGGGCATAAGTGATGCAATTTTATGCTGGGATTTTCAAAGGGAATTAAATTTCAATGGGATTTGGGTGCCTAACTCTCGTATGCTCCTTTGAAAACCTAGATGTCCAATTACTTGACTGTACCCCTGCCCCCTACAGCAAGGTACTTGCATGTCTAAGTGACATCAATTGCACTTGCAATTTTTTGCATGTGCAAAATTTAAGAACAAAAAGGAACACCTAGAAAGTAGGGCTCAAAATCAAGTGCTATGTTCATTAGCAATTATATCTATGGTGGTCTTTCAGCATTTACTAGAAATATGTGGCCTTATAATTTAGTACAAGTCTCCCTAGCGGATTTTTCTGTAAGGCAGTACAGTTTTGGGGGCTCACTTTCAGGGCTTCAGCTTCCTCATCAGAAAATACCTACTGAATCATCTAGTAGTTCATATAGAAGATCTAGAATTACTCCTGTGGGTTTAATAAACCTAGGACAAAATGTCTTCCTTTGGAAGTGAATGTCTGGCAAGTGCATGCAGACACAGAGGCTGGGTTTTCAAAATCCATCCCATAAAGCCAGTATCCTGGTTGAATATGTAACACTGTCAAACCAAATTTTGTATACTCATACATGTGAGCCAGTTGAGTCACTTTACTTTCAGGACTTAAAATGTTCTTAATGTCCTGCATTGTTGTGTAAACCCCATTGAAAAAACACTTCAGAGGACGCCCATTTTTTTACTAATGTAAACATTCTGACCAGTATCCAAAGATATGACCTCTTGGTGAACCTTTAACCTTCCCCTTAATTATTTGTTTGAAGGCAGTGTGGAGTTCTCCTGCTGAGACTGAAGAACCATAATGCCTTGCAGCCCTGTGAGTAAGGGAGTGTTTGGAAGGAAGTGGAAAGGGACATAAATAAGGGCACCACCAGATGTAAATAATAAAAGTGGTTGGGGTTTAAATAAAAACTGAAAAAGCAATTTAGTTTCCCTAAAGAGTGGCTGGATTGAAGAAAATAGGGGCTCGGAAGACAAAAAGCGTGGGAGGGTCTCTTGTTTATGATTTTTTACAGGCCGCCCAAATAAGCACTCATTGCATTCTTTAAAACCTTGCCATCTGTATACATCATTAGAAGCTCATAGGAGAAGAGAAAACAGTCTTATCAGGCTTTTCTCTTAATCTCTATTGGCCTTAACTTTAGCTGATAAAAGGCATGCTGGATACAGAAGGTTCAGGTCAGCCCCCATTTGGTCAACGTGGTAACATTGCTGGAAAGCAGCTAAGCAAATTAAGTCCTATCAGAGACCTTTGTCTTTGGGGACGGAAACTGTGTCTAGAAGTCACAGTATTAGAGTAGGAAATACCTCCACCATGCTGAAATCACTGCTAGCTGAAGGAATGAGCAACAGAATCAATTCTTTGTTTTTATTTTTAATACTTGAAGTCTCCTCTTGACTAATTCAGAGGCAGGATGACATTTTTGACAACTGAGCTATACTTTCCTTGAAGAATAAAGAATGTCTTTGTTTTGGATGTAAACATTGAGATGCAAAAAAGCCCTTTGGTGTTATTTGTAGCATTTATGCATCTGTCTAATGGAATTCCCACCAGTGTGATTACAGGAGATCTAAACAAAGGTGTACTGTCTTTTGTTATCTCTGATGGACTTTAACCTGAGGGGAGCGACTCAGTGGCTAGTATAGTATATGTCGGATGCCCAGCTGTGTAAGTGTTAGAATTCGACTAAGTGAGCTGATTAATTGAATTTTCCATTATTGACTGAAAAACTCCCATTAACTTCAGTGGACTTTGGATCAGGCCCAATGGCAGTTAAAGAGGCTGTTTTGGATGACCGGCATGTTAGTATTTCTGAAGAGGATTAAACACTAGTATTCAACTTCATTAGCACTCCTTAAGGGTCACTAGACTGAAGTCTGAACTGTGAAATACCAGACAAAACCTGAACATAAGCCCTAAAGTGTTCTTAAAACACAAAGAACAGGGATAAAAATAAAAACAAGTGTGGTTTGTGAGTGATAGAAAATTGCCTTGTTTTGAACAAATTGTATAAATAATATGGGGGGGGGGATTATTTTTACTGAGTTTGATTTTACTGAGTTTGAGCTGATGTGGATTGCTGTGCATTAAACTAACAGAAAATATGCAAGCACTTATTTGTGGGTTACCAACCAATTAAATTCAGGCTTTCTAGCCAAACAACTGGCTTTATCTAATGCTCAAACGCTTCGGCCACTACTCCAGCTATGGTACCTGATTTGAGGAAAAAGTTCTTTTGGGCCTAATATTAAACACATGTACCTACAACTCCCTCTTTCTACTGAGTTGAAAGGTGCCTCAGTTTATGGTCAGCAGTTGCTTAATGCTCTGCCTTGGGTGTCCCACTCTTGGCTGAAAAGGTCGCCCCCAGCTGGCACTGACCTCTAAATGACCCCTGACTTTACAGGCTTAAACTGCAGGAGTTGCAGAAGAGCAGAAGTCTTTCTGGGCCAGCACTTATTGCTGCTGTGCTGGTGATAAAACTTCAGACAGCCTAATTGATGGCTTTGCTGACCTAACAATACCTTGTGAAAGCACAGAGTGGCAAAGCCTGGTCTTCATTTATGGCCAGCTGCAAGGGTAGCTGAATCCCCTATGATGAAGAAAAAAAGTCTTCTAGCCTGTGAACTTTAACCAGGTTCCTTGTTACTCTAAGAAGTTAAAGAAACAATTGTCTTGTAACACAAGTTTTCATTCACATTTACTTGTTCACAGCCTTCTGGTAAATCCAGTCTTAAACTGGCTTGTAAGATAAGCATGTTACAAGTTACAATTTCTGAGCACTTTGAGGGAAATCTTTTAAAGTGAAGTTATATATATTTTTTACATGCTGCTGTATTGCACTGAATCCCTGCCAGAGTAAAAGCAAAGGTGTTCTTAAAAGACAGAAGCAAGCTGATGAATGGACTTCTATTCTTTGTGTTCTGTTTTAG